GAATGAGAAATATATTTAGGACCATTATCACTGGGCAAAACTCTAATAGAAACACCGAACTGAGTTTGTATTTCATTGAAAAAAGATTGAAAGATATGAAATACTTCAGAATGATTTTTCATAAAAAATAACCAAGTACATATGGAATAATCATCAATGAAAGTAACAAAGTATTGAAAAACTAAAGTAGACTTAATGTGACTAGGTCTCCAAATGTCAGAGTGAACCACGACAAAAGGGGACGAAGTACCACGTGTGACACTACGAGGAAAGGAAGTACAACTATGCTTGCCTAATTGACATGACTCACATGCCAAACTAGACAACTTAGATAAGGCAGGGACAAGCTGCTGTAACTTGGCAAGACTTGGATGACCTAACTAAGCATGAAGAAGAGAGGGAGACTTCATAACTGCACCAACATGTGTAAAGGGACGAAAATGATAAAGACCATGAGACTCACATCCTGTGACAATCACCTGTTTCGAACTCAGGTCCTATAAACACACAGAATTATTGGTAAAAGAAACAACACAATCAAGAGAACGAGTTAGACGACTGATGGATAACAAGTTAAAAGGAGACCCAGGGACATAAATAACATTATCAATGGTTAAAGAAGGGAAACATTTAACAGTTCCAACACCATGAGATGATACTCTAGAGCCATCAGCCAATGTAACAAAAGGTAAAAGATTAGGAGAGGATAAAGAGGAGAACAAAGATTTGTTACCAGCAATATGATTAGTGACTCTTGAATAAAAAACCCAAGGACCAGAAGAAGATTGGGTCAGACCAGCAAAAGATGTACTTGTGTGTGCGACAGACACAGTGGAACTAGAAGACTATTGATCCTTATACCATTTGAGAAATTTATTGAACATAACAGGTATGTCAGATGAAATAGAAGAAGGAGCCTTAGCAGATAAAGATGGGAAAAGATCAGTCTGAACAACTGCAGCAGATCAAGGAGGACGACCATGTAATGCATAACACTTGTTAATCTTGTGACCTAACTTGCCATAATGTTCACACTCATGTAATGCATAACACTGGTCAATCTTGTGACCTAGCTTGCCGCAATGTTCACACTTAGGACGCCATTTTCCCTGTTTGCGAGAGCAAGTTCGGTCATCACGGTGAGATACTAATGCAGAAGAATCATTAACAGAAGCAGGTGTGTCAGGGTTGGGTTTTGCTGGTACATGCAAAAGAGTGGAGCAGGTCGAAGTCAAGGTGGGGACAACCGAAGAACCTAAAATCTGATCACGAATATGTGAATATTGATCAGCAAGTCCATGTAATACCCCTAGCATGAAGAACTTTGATCGTTGTGCTATCTCGGTGGTAGGGTCGGGGGAAGGAGGCAATAACTCATTGAACTCATGAAAAAGAACATGAATTTTTCCCATATAATCAGTCATAGAATCTTGATGTTTAGAGGCAATAATATCTACGAATTTAGAACAAACATCATAGAGACGTTGAGTATCATTGGTATATAATAACTTGACATGTTCCCAGATTTTGACACATGTTTCGTAAGAATGAAAAATTTATTTTAATGAAGGATCAAGAGTACCCTTGAGAACCACACATAATTGAGCATCAATGGTGTCCCAACGGTCTTCCTCACCAAGAGTGAGAGTAGGTTCTTTCGGGGCAAGATGATCAAGATATTTCTGACTCTTAAGCCATAATTTGACGTCTGATGACCATGTGGCATAATTAGGGCCAGTTAACTTGTCAATGGATAAGTGCACATTAACATAGTTAGTGTAGATGGAAGGATCAGATGCAGTACTGACATAATTGGAAGTATTAGAAGGAGTGGAAGAAGTCATAAAGGGTGGAGACGGCAGTGACAACAGCGTGAACCAGTACACCAGGTAAGTTCCCATGAAAGAGAGGTGGGTCACTAATGGAAACGCTTAAATACCAAGTATTTCCTTGTCAGAACCTTCCTAGACATGCACTTTCACACTACCAAATAATATCCAATAACAAAAATAACTCTTTTATGATGTGGAAGATCAGTTTAACTGGCAGCAATAGCAGTGGTGGTGGCAGCTCCAACAGTGGTCAAAGGCGAAAAAATTTCAAAATAACTTTAAGCTCTAGATACCATGTTGAATATAGAAGAAATAGAATTTGAGATTAATCTCCATTGTATATAAATCACACATAGAATAAGCTATTTATAATAGAGAGATTCAACTAACTGAAAGTAACAAAATAAAAAAAATATATTGTTTGATATTGTAGTTAACAATATCTAACAATATCTTAACAAAATCAAATAATATCTAAACAATATCTAACAAACACGATTCTAATTTCTTCCTCGTCCACCTGCCTTCTCATCATTTTTGGGTCGTTCACCCCACCAATCTTGGTATCCAATAAGCAAAAAACTTGCTTCATCGTGTCCTGTCTTATTACAATGTGTGCACACAAGTTTGTTCTTGTTCTTACACCCTTTTTCTTTCACACTTGCTTGAACGGCTAAGGCCATAACTTCTGGTCTTTCTTCTTTGGCTCATGTGATGCTTCGTACTCTTTCTTCTTGCACTAGAATAAAGTACATATTATATAAAGACGACAAAGGATATGTGATCAACAGGTTGGAATGGACCATTTCGTAGATCCTATCATCCAATCCCATCAGAAAAATATGACATTACTATTCTCTGTGTTTTTTCAAGCTTTGTCGTAACACCACAGGTGCAGCCCTTACAAGTGCAAGTTATTGTTGGTTCATGGTTTGCCAATTCATCCCACAAAGCTTTTAGCTTTCTGTAATAGGCTACCATGGATAACCCTTCTTGTTTACATTGTGTCAATTCTGACTTCAGTTGTTGTATCTGTGGACCATTCACAACTAAGAATCTCTCCTTTATGTCGTTCCAAATCTCCTTGGTAATTTTCAAGTAGGATATGGTCGTTCGCAGGTTCGACTCTACTGTGTTCTAGATCCATGACACTAACATGGCTTGAATAGTCCACCAATCCTCCAACTCAGAGGATCCTTCTTTGGGTTTTTCTATAGATCTATCAATGAACCCCCATTTTCTTCTTGCTCTCAAAGACATCGTCATAGCTCTAGCCCATTGATCATAGTTTTCACCCTTTAGTTGCACCTACGTGATCACGTTTCTAGGGTTATCACGAAATTGAGATCATACGGTGACATCTTTTTCTTGTGGGTTTGCTCATCTCTCATCTTAGAAGACTTCGGTTGGTCTTCTTTTTTATTCATAGAAGCCCTCAAATATTTTAAGGGTTGTATGTGCTCTGATACAATGTAAAAATGGATCAATGATTTATTTGGAAGCTATGATTTATATACACTTATTGGCTCATGCAATATCTCTTATTATTGTACTGATACTAATTCCATTTATAACAACTAAATAAACCAAATTTAATATCCCTATATTTGACCTAATTGATAAATATAAACTATTAACATTATGTCTAAATATGATTGGAAAATGTCAAAAAAGATCTTATAGTAAAATATAGTTTAATAATTACCTTAAATATTCTAATTATATATTTCAATATAATTTTTTGTAATATATATATATATATATATATATATATATATATATATATAATATTTATACAATATTTGCTAACTGCTTGCTTATTGTGAGATTCGAATGCCATTTTAAATAGTTAATTTACGTGACAATCAACCATCAATGAATATAAACCTTTGATAAGATAATTCATTTGAAGATAACAATATCTCAGGAATTACCTTTTGTAGTATAATAACACTTTTAAAGAAAAAAATTATGCTACAGATTACTTTTAGTTTTATTCCTTGCATTGCGCATAATAAAAGTAAGAGAAATATGATTAAAATAAAGGTATCGTTTGGATGAATAGAAATGAAAAGGAAAACAGTACAAATTTTCCATTTCATTTATTTGGATGAATTAATAAGAATTAAGTAAATTAAATGAAAATTATTTTTATATTATTTAAATAATTATTTTTATTCAATTATTTTATCTCTTAATATAAAAATTATTTATTATTTTTGTAAATATGCTATAAAAATTATATAATTTTTTTAAAATGATTTATATTGTCTGGTAATATAGAACCGATTTCATGCCCAAAGGGCACGTTGTACCTAAAAACATCTTCAATTACCTTCCATTTCAAAGATATATAATAATAATAATAATAATAATAATAATAATAATAATAATAATAATAATAAAAGTTAAAAATCAAAACAATAATATAATAACTCATAATTAAAATAAAAGCTGAGAAAAAATTATAATATTTTTTAAAATTTAAAACAAAATAATAATGTCTTTCTAATAAATAAATTAATTCAACTATTATAATGAAAAAATTGAAATGATTTACAATTATTTTATATAAAAATATCATCATATTAATTTTTATCCTTCTTAATTACTTTCTTCCTATTTTCTTTTAAGCAAATAATAGGTTAGGTATGAAAGAAAATAAAAAATAAATAAATAATGAAATTAAAATTAAATACTTATTTCTATAAATAAAGAAGAAAGATAAAAAAAACTAATAATAAAAAATAAAAAATATTATCATGAATTCATAAATTTTAAAATTATTTTTTTCTTTAACTTCTCTATACTAAGACTCCAATTTATTATTTTTATTTATTCAAAATTATTTTTATCTTGATAAACCTATCAAGTCATCAACACAACACTCTCCTCAAATAAGAGATTAAATAAAAAAGAAAAATATTAAAAGAGACTTTTTATTTATTTATTTGAGTGGATAAACAAAATAAAAGTAAAACATTGACTATTCCGAAAGTGGATAGGGTGAGTGAAGTGGGACCTTTTCATTACATCTTAAGTTGGATTGGATGTGATAGGATAAGGTCGAAGGAAGATAAAGCAAAGCAACGCAAGTAAGTAACTGATCCTTCCACTCCTTCCTTCCTTCCACTTTTGCCACTCCCACTCCCACAAGCAAGTCAAGAGATGGCAGCGCCGACAGTGAAGGTGTACGGTCCACCCATGTCGACCGCCGTGTCGAGGGTCTTGGCCTGTCTCATCGAGAAAGACGTTCAATTCCAACTCATTCCCGTCAACATGTCCAAAGGGGAACACAAGAGCCCTGATTACCTCAAGATCCACCCTTTTGGACAAGTACCGGCATTTCAGGATGGCGATCACATTTCCCTCTTCGGTAACTTTCCTTAACACCCCGCCTCCTCAATTTGCCCTAATTCTAACTCTAATGTCAAATTGAAACCAGAGTCCAGAGCTATATGCCGCTACGTATGCGAGAAATTCGGGGAGAAAGGGAACAAGGAACTGTACGGAAGGAACCCTTTGGCGAAGGCCTCCATAGATCAATGGCTGGAGGCAGAAGGGCAGAACTTCAACCCACCTTCCTCCACTCTGGTGTTCCAGCTCGCATTCGCTCCCCGAATGAAGATCAAGCAAGACGAGGGTGCCATCAAGCAGAACAAAGAAAAGCTCGCGAAAGTGCTCGATGTCTACGATAAGAGGCTTGGAGAGAGCCGTTTCCTGGCAGGGGAAGACTTCTCTCTCGCCGATCTTTCCCATCTTCCCAACATCCACTACCTGGTCGCCGCCCCCGACGCTGCTCCTCTCTTCACTTCCCCCAACGTCGCCAGGTGGTGGGACGAGATCTCCTCCCGTGACTCCTGGAAACAAGTCGTTGACTTGCAGCGAGGTGCCTGATTTTTCATCCTTTCATCTTCGTTTGTGTTTAAGCTTTCCTCTTGCACCGTTACATTTGGTCGGAACTAATTGCAAAGGCTTTCAGGCGTTGAACTGTTTTTAGATGCTTGATGTTGCTTGTAAGTTCTAACGTTGTTGTTCTCTCAATCAAACTATAATGGCCATGGTAGTTCTGAAACTTTGTAGGTTCCTTTCTTTGTTTAGTTTAGATAATGAAAATGGAACAGGAAGAGGCTACAATTTTGTCTTCACAAACATGCCAAGCCTTTCCCTATCGAAATAATAGTGAAATGTTGACACCACCAACTACCAAAGTAACTTGTTGTAACATAAATTTCCTCATGTTTTGTCACTTTTAGCCTCTCCCAACTACCAAAAGATGACAGAGGGCGGAGGAAACATCCTGAAGTTGCTATACTCAATTTTACAACGAAGCATTGATTTTTTAATTTATAATTTTTTAAAAATTAATTACCCTTTTGTTTCGATGAAAATATCATGTTTATTAATAAAAAAATGTAATTAATAGTAAATGTATTTTAACGTCTATTACACAATTATGTATAGAAAAGACACATCAAAGAATTATATTAATACAATTCTTCTCCTCATATATAATGAGATTTCACATCTTATATCCAAAAAGTAGAGGACTCAACAAAGGCCAATCCAAGGGTCCGGTAGCCACTGAACCCTCCAATTTATTATTATACATATATATAATTATTTCTTTTTCTAACTATAAAACAAAATTTATTCTTTAAATATAACTAAAATGTAATTATTATTTTTTTTCTTATAAAAACTCGTAATAATAATAACAATTATTATTATAATAAATATTATTTTTTATATAATTTTCACCTATATTATTTTTTATAATTTTATTTTTTCACTTTTTTTTATATCAAATATTCATCTTTTTACTTTCAATCTTTTTCTTTATATTTATTTTCATATTTTTCTTTTTCACATATTTACTTTACAGTTTTTTTATTTAATTTTCTTACATTTTTCTTTTTTTGGTTTCACTTCTATGACAATAAAAGATTGTAATATTTTTCATTACTTTTTCTCTTCTTTTTTTCACAGTGGAAACATTTTAATATTAAAAACCAAAAAGCATAAGTTAACTATTATAGCGTTAGTTAAATAAAAGAAATATTTTGCAATAAAAAAAATAAAAGTAATTTTTATTTTATTATTTGTGAACTATTATAGTATATTAGCATGTTTCACATTTATAATTTTGGTCTTTTTAAAAAAAAATTATAAATATTAAAATAAATCATTAAATATATCAAATGAAAAATATTTTATATTCTATATTTTAATTTTTTTTTCATTATTTATTAATGATTCGTTACTTCGTCTCTAAAATTATTGATTAATATATACTATTATTAGCATGTGTATAATTTGATATAGTTAAAGGAAAATTAAATTAAACTTTAAAATGTATAAAAGAAATCATAAACTTATTTTTTACAATAAAAAAGAATATATGATAAAATAAATTTTAAATTACCAAATTTATGTTAAAAATGTGCTCCAACAACCTGTCACGTGAAACATATGTGATAATTAATGTTAAATACATATAAAAATTTATAATTTTGAATAATTATATAATATATTTATTTTTATGTTATAATTAATACATATATTAATTAATTTAAACCCATTCATTTAAATTTTTTGTCTGCATCGGTGGGTGTTAATATGGATTATTTAATCCGTAAGTCAATGTGTCTTATGGATTAAGTAGGGTTAAATTAAAAACTTTTTAAAATTTTGAAATTATGAATAAAACAAATTTGACTCATTTAATCTTGATTGATAGTAAATTGACTTATATTTTTTTAATCTTTAATATTTTTATTTTTCTATATATTTTATGAATAAAATAAATTTTTTGGTGAATTAACCTCCATTTAATTCACTTATTTTACTAAATTAATTTACTTAAATAATCAATTTTAATGATTTAAAAAGTAAAAAATAATTAATAAATGAGACAAAATCAATCACTTAGCCCATCAACCTCTGATAGATACATAGGAGCAAATTGTAAATTTTTTTACTTATGGAATCAGATTAAATGATCTTGTTAACCAAATTGACTCAATGTTTTTTCTTTTTAAACAAGATCCACTCGTAAAGTTGTTACGTGGGATTCCAAAGGCCATAGACGTTCACTAAAAGTCAACTATGCTACTGCTAAATTCTAATATTTCATTATTGTCGGTCAAATTACAAATATTCCATCCTTAGTTTTTTTTTCTATTTTCTAAATTTGTCAATAATATATAAATTACATCCAAAAAATTGTTATTATGTAAGGTAGAATATAAAATGTATTTCTATTATGGATTTTTTTTTTCACAACCCATTTTTTTATATACAGTTATTAGACAACTAAATATGTTAATATAATAATAAATTTATATATTTTTCTTAATCTTATGTTATAATATATTTACTTTATCTATTAGATAAAACTACTATATTCCTCACTTTTTTTCACTACACAAGATATTAAATGAAGGAATTGTAAAAAGAAAAATAAAAAAAAATAATAATCAAATTTTCTTCCTACAAGACCTTACATTCCAAATATGTCCGAAACAAGTTAGATGTCTTTTATTTCTGTTGGGTTCTAAGCCCCAAGACCTAGAGCCCATTTATCTATTACAGACTGTAGATGCATGCATTTGCACGGGCTAAGATAGGTTACACTATTTTTCTTACCAATTTGTTTTCAGATCTAAAGTTTTTTTTCAAAGATTAACGCTTTTGAATTTTTTTTGTTTAAAGATAAGTTTTAAATATTTTTTCCTAAAAAAGTTAACTTCTTTCACAATTTTATACCCGATTCGGTGTAGGATTATGTTCTCTTTCTTATCAATTTGCTTTGAGTTAAGGTTTTTTTTTATCAAAGTTACCAATTTCAAATTTTTATTGTGGCTACCTTTAATGTTATAATCAAAGCAAAGTTCAATTTTTTTTTTCCTAAATAGTTACTTTCTTTCACCATGATTAAGGTTTAATGTTGTCTTCTTTAACCACAATTAGGATTCAATATCTATCTTTTACCATATAAGTTTAATTTGCTTTATGTTGGTTCTGTCACAATTTTATACATGTTTCAATGTAGTGTTATGTACTCTCTCTTACCGATTTGCTTCGATTTAAAGTTTTTCCATTCAAAGGTTTCTGTTGCTACCCAAAAATTCCCAAATTTTGATAAACTATGACTCTCCTTAAGTGAACTTGCCTATTCTTTAACCTTAATGCCCCTTTTAATGGGTCATTCAACTTGGATCCGGGATTTCCTATATTTGATTATTATTCATTATGTGAACTTTCTAGTAACAAGCATGATACTAGGTAAGATTTCTAAAATCACATCTTTAAGGGAGAAGATCACGTTATGACCGACCACAAAGTAACTTATTTGAACACCACATAACCCCTAACGTTGAGTATCAGATGTTAAGACTTTAATTAAGTCAAAAGAAATCTTGTCGTCCTACCCAAATGCTTGGCAGTACGGCAAAGCCATGACTCAAACTTTCACACATATTGGCTACCACCATCTTCATCATAAGGTGACTCAAATGTCACTCCTTTTTAGTGGGAAAGCGCATGCCATGTGTGATTGTTGATGGAATGTCACATCTAGTCATATCACGCACACAAAACGTGCCTGCCCCTTTATCCTTTCATCTTCCTCATCCAAGGCTTATTTCTTCTAGGACTCATTACTTTAACCTTAACGCTCTCTTCGCTCCTTATGCTTCCTCCCTTTTTGCGCCTTTTGATTCTTGTGCTTGGTTTGTTGACTTGTTATCCAAGTGTTTGTTTCATCAGTTCTTCCTATCATTTCTTCCAATTTCATGCCCTTGCTTTGCATTGTTGTTAGTTGTTTATTTTTCTGCATTTACTTGAAAAAAAAAATGGCCGGTAAAGAGATTAAAGAGGTAAGTGATGTAGTTTTATATCCCAGATCCAAAACTGAAATACTCCATGAAACCTTCAGCTATACTTCTTTGAAACTTTTGAAACACTTGCAAAATAGTCAATCTTTGAGTTGTTCTAAAACTCACAAGGACTTAGTGTTGCAAGTATGCTACCCTACTGAGCCCATTGCAAGGATTAGGAGGAAGGCGCCAAACCTTTCTTTCTTATATATGATACCCTGTTTATTAAGCTAGGATTACATCTCCCCCTTTTTTCTTTTGAAAAAGAGGTCTTATATGTAATAAATGTTGCTCTAACCTAACTTCATCTTAATAGCTAGGCCTTTGTCCGAAGCTTTCCATATCCTCTCCATCCATTTTGGTATTGTACTAACTTCAAACATGTTTTTTTTTTTACTTTTTTGAATGTTAATTCTCCAAAAGAACTTTCTGGGTTTCTGTTGGTGGGGTGCCAGGTCAAACCCTACTTAATCTATTCCAATCTTCATATAAACACTTTAAAGGTCGATTCATCAAGGTTTGTGTCCACAAATTTGATCCAACCTTGGTGGAAGGATTTCCCCTTTATTGGACAGCCAAACCTCATCCCTGTCTGCGTTGAAGACGCAGGGTATAAACTCACAAAAACCGATATCTTCCTTACATGAAAGTGAAAGGTCGCACCTGCTCTAGATTCCACTGTGATGGTGTTGGTTCTCAAGCACTCAGATGGATGCGATAGCGAAGGTGTTATTTTCATTTGTAACGAGACGTTCCCCAAAATTCACACGGTAAGGGGTGTGGAGGTAGCTCAGGCTTTACAAGGTTTACTTAAGACAACTAATTCTCTTACCATTCATGCTAAAATAAGGAGGGCTCGTGACCTGGATATGCTATCGAAGATAAGAAGAAAATCGAGGAAAACAAACTTCACATTTTGGAGAAGTTAGACAACTGCCTCAAGGCTCACGCTGTTACTAGAAAGGTGTTGTTGAAAGCGGAGATGGAGCTGGTCTTGGAAAAGAAGCACACAAGGCC